TCACCAGACAGCCAGCTGCAGTTTTTATTAAACTTTCATAAGTTTTTCATTGAAAGAATTTTCTTTTGCCTGCTATTTTTTGTAACTTATATGAATTACTGTCATTTATGTCTTTAAAATACCAAAATTTCCATTTAACGTTACATTTTAGTGTGTCTGCTGATGTAATGTTTAAATATTAAATTATTGATCGTTACTCGGTACTTTAGTAGACGTTTTACCAAATTCTTTTTGACTCTTACTTGAGTAACTTTTTACCTTTACTTGAGTAAAAGATATGTTGAAGTAGTGCCACTTTTAATTGAGTACAGTTTTTGGGTTTTCTGCCCTCCTCTGGTCTTAGAGCATCAAACTGCCGTCACTATGATGAAAGCTGGGCCAGCTCTGCTCTTACCTATCTTTGCCAGCTGCATCAGCTGCTCAGAAGGCGACACGACGCTCTGCGGCTTCACCTCATTGATAAGATTGTTGGCGATGTTGGTGTAGCCGTCGTGGAGGAGCTGGCTGATGATGAGCCTGTACAGGTGCTGTCGGTCCTTCAGAGTCGGCTTAGGACGATACATTTTGGCTCACTGCTGCAACGTAGATGGCTGACGCCAAACAGAGAAAGTCAGTAACTATATCTGCATTAATATTGCAACCTGTATCCTGCACAGCGGGTGAACAGGCTGTATGAGACAGAGTCAACGATGCTCCTGTATGTCTCTGCAGCTAACGTTAGCTTGGATGCTACTGCTAACACCGAGGAAAACAACCGTCGGCTAACTGAAATAAGGCTTCAGTCCGACTAAGCGTGCGGCTTTATTAGAACCACAATGAAACAACTGAGGTAAGACGCTTAAAGTATGTCTAAAAGTTCTCTCTTACAATTAAAACTTGAAGAATATCCCCAACTGTAAGTGAAGTAAAAACAGCGCTCCTGGACTCAAACGTGTATAACGTCCGACGTAAGAGTCGTGCTTACGTCACGAAACGCTTCTTTCTTCTTCTTTCTCTTCTATTATGGCAGATCGCAAGTAACATTAAAGTGCATACTGCCACTTACTGTACACGAGTGTGTAGCAACAGTTCCTCACGTCCATTATATTAATCCATCCATATTTTCTAATTTTGCAATGTGAAGATAAATAAATAATGCTTTCCTTAATCTATAAATATCCTCTATGTTTACTTCAGTTCCGAATATTCCTGGACCCTTTATTATTATTATTATTATTATTATTATTATTATTATTATTATTATGTTTGTTGTTTGTGTGTTTGTTTGTGTGGAGGTAGAGAGCAATATACATATTTGTTGGCAGTAGGTTCATTTTTCTGATTTATCTGTTTCTGTACAGTTACTTTGACTTGATCTCTTTCATGTCTGAAAGAGGGAACTTAACTGTGTGTGATTTTATTTCAGCTTAGTTTGCGTTTATCTCTTGTTTATCACGTGAAAAGCGTCACAGTTGTTAAAAATAAATAAAAACTAAGTTCAAAGAAGAAATTCTCAGAATTCATTGAGTCTCCTTAAGCAATTCAATAGCAACTCTCTTTCTTTCTTTCTTTCTTTCTTTCTTTCTTTCTTTCTTTCTCTCTTTCTTTAAAAACTGTAGAATTTTCATTCCTTTAATTGATACTTTAAAGCCTTCAATATTCCAAGAGTTAGTCCAGACAGAATTATTAAATATTACAAATTGTATTACATTCAGCACTGTAATTTCACCATTTCCCAATTAATTATTTCTAACCAAACTCAACCATTTACAGCAAACCTTTCTTATAAATAGTGAAGCATGTTGCATTTGCGATGGCAGACTGTGTGGAATGGATGGATGAAAGGATCAATCTTAGCCTATGATTATACGCTGTACAATAAAAACAGCAAAACTGCTGAAACACTGAGTTTCATTAAGTCAAGTCTAAATACTTGATTGCCTACAGCTGCCTGTGACTAATAACCACTACAGTTATGAACTGCAGTCTGCTGTATGAATTTGCTACTGCGATGTAACATTTCCTTGCTTGTTGTTTTATTGCTTTAATTATGTAAAGCATTTTGAATTTTTGAATTTCTTTGTTGTGGAAATGTGCCATACAAATAAAACTGCCTTGCCTGTAAAACATTACAGCTCAAACAGTACATTGAATAAATACACAAATGACTTGCCATAATCAGAGAAACGTTAGGTTATGTGTGGATAAATAAATCAGTCATAGCCTGTCGGAAACACAAAGCATAACTGATAATGCGTCTGTCACTATTATGTAAATTGTGCAATCGGATGAATTACAGATGTTTTCCATGTCTTCCTTCTTTTACATTCCTGTTGTTGATCGTCTTCACAGTCTTCAAGCTTGTAAGTTATCTGCATATAAAAAAATAACCCGAAGAGAAGCTTCCAGACGAATAAACCTGCGTAGAGATATTGAGTTCATCAACTCGCTGTAGTAATACTACACCTGGGCTTATGCCGGTATAGACAGCAGAGCTGCTTCACGTGGATTTACATCCAATTTCTCAAACAACGCAGAACTTTAGTAACCACAAGCCGATGACTTGAGAAAGAAACATATGTTGTTTGTTTCTAGTTGCTGCTCACTATTAGTGGTAAAGGCTGGTTTGTAAAGCCTTGTATCCTAGCAACTTAAGCAACATGGCCAGAAAACAATAAGTCAGCAACACGAGACCCTGAGTGACTGTTTTCATATCTGTCTCCTTAAAGGATTCCTGCTAGAAAGATCAAATGCCATGACTGTAACATCTGAGGAACACGTGCCTGGAGCCATGCCCCCTCCCTGCTGGGCTTGGTGAGGATGGCAGAAAACATGGTAGGAGGTATCCTGTTGCCATGTCAACAGAAAGCATGCTCTTGCATGGACCAGCTTGCAGTTGCCTTGGAGACCAAGTGAAGTCTGTTGCAGTGCAATGTTTGTTTGCTTTCAGTCAATATTCTTTATTAATTTTACAAAGTACACGTGAAGTAACAACATTTCACTTGTCGCGTTCCCGACATACAAGGAACCTCTTTGTCCAAAGATCTTAAAGGGATAAAGAGGCATGGTCTGAGAGGCCAGAGTGACCGATTGCTCGGCTTGGACGGCCAGCCAGCAGAGTCCTGCAGGTTCTAAACTTCTTCCGTTTACCAATGATGGAGGCCGCTGAGAGATTGGGACATTCAAAGCAGCCGAAACAGTCGGGACAGTCTTGTGCCTCAAGGCAATCCTGACTCAGAGGTCTACAGACATTTCCTTGGATTCCATACTTGATGTTTGACCTCTGACCTGCAATGTCAGCTGTGGGATATTATATACAGAGGTATCTGCCTTTCCAAATCAAGTCTACTCATACTGAATTTACCACAGGTGGACTACAGTTAAGCTGGGTTAGGGTCATGGATGATCAGTGGAGACAGCTCAACACGGAGCCTCATGTCTAAGGCTGTGAATACTTACATAAATGGGACTGTAAGTTTGTTTTAATGGTTTTCCTTTTTTTTTTTTTATAAATGTATAATAAATAAATCTCATTGTAATAACGGGGCATTGGAGTGTAGAATTTTGAGGAAAGACATACATTTAATACAATATGAATGAAGGCTGCAACATAACAAAATGTGCGAAACCTGAAGTGTGCTGATTTCTTTCCAGATGCACGGTATCCAGTGATCGAGCTAAGTCAGTTACAATCCAAAAACAATTATTTTCCTTGTATTCTACATGTTGCAACACGCTAAGGTTTGTGTTGTACTTTGATTGACAAAGGTCGTGAATGGTTCCAAACTCTCAAGAACAAGATTTGTTAAAAACTGCTAGGTTAAAGTTACTTGACTGAAGGAACTTCCCACATGATCCCATGGAGATCAATGACCTTTAGAAATGATGCTGTCGGGGTGTTACCATGTTCCTGATTGGTTCTCTCACATAATCAATCAATCAGTCCATCCATTCTCTCTGCTTATCCAGATTTGGGGCACATTTAGCAGCTAGTGCATGAGATTAATTGACAGCACTAAGACACTACTCTTGGCTCTGATTGGTTGATTTTGGTTGGGACGACTCAGGAGCGGTGCATTTGGTGGAGGAGACTGATCATTCTCTATCTCGTAGCATACCGTGATAACATGGTGACAGTTTTAACAAATACGTAAAAAAGATACATATAGTCCCTTCATGATTGGGCCAATGTGCTTGAAAAGACTTTTATAGTGGCGCGATGAAAATCACATCGTTTTGTTCTCTGCCTCATGCAGTCCATTCCTTCTTGTCACAACGCTCTTGGCGAACGTAAGATGTGTGTCGTTGTGTTTATTGCTTCACTTTCTTAAACATCATTTAACAAAAACACTGCGGAATGAAACAACCCGAGTGTAAATCACTCAACAAAACTGGTCAGAAAGGACCAGTTTTGACTCCAAGTCTTCCAGTCTTCAGAGTTTTTGCCTCTCCGGCATTTCGGATTTTAACTTAACTAGGCTTTTTTCATTTGGCTCTTTTGTAGATAAAATGAGTTTCATAAAAGGCTGGAGTAAAAAAAAAAAAAACATACACAAACACACACATTTCATAATCTGTTTACAAATTATCACTTGCTGCACAATCATCCTTACTCACTAAACCAGCAGCAGATTAACGATTAAGACTGCCAGCGTAAATAACAAATTCATTTAAACAAAAGCATGTCTCCTTAAGGATGTGCAAAGTTAACCACTAAACCCCCTACAAAAACAAAAACAAACACAAAAAAATAAAACATAAGAGGGATTGTGGTGGAGGTGGATCATTTAAACGCTTTAACTCGTCTAATTGTTCTCTGTCAGAAAGGATGAGAACTGCACATGTGCAGCCACATCAACATGAGCTGCACCTCACTCCTCTGTCTGTGTCGGTGTGTGAGATTCTGTGCGTGGGTGGAAGTCAGTGGGTGGGAGAGTGAGCATGCGAGGCAGATAGACGTCAGGTACTGCCTCAAACTGCTGATGGTAAAAGTCAGCTGTCGAAAGGGTAAGTTTGCTTTTGTTGCAGCACTTCCTCCGCCGGCAGCTCCCGCTTTCAACACTTTTGTTTTAATGATCCTCGCGGTCCAGCTGATCTCTTAGTGCAGTCTCTGACTTCAACTTATCCTCCGGAAGTCTTTGTTTGACAGCCAGCACACCCACCCAGCACTCTCCTCCTTTCTGCCATACCAGCTTGTATCTTCTCTGTTTCTCTCTCTCTCTCACTCTCTCTCTTTCTCTCTCGCTCTCATTTGCATGTCTTCCGCTTCCTCATCACAAGAAACGGTTCTTGTCACAGAGCTGAGAGAAGATGAGATTGGAGAGGAACGTGAAGCAAGCGGTTGCAGTCAGAATGAGGCTGTGTAAAGGGCTCTGTCACCAGTCAGGGTGGTGAGTGAACTCTACCTAAATGTTTCCTGCACTTTCTTTTTTTATCTGTACTCTTCTGAGTTACCACTCACAGTGAGGTACTACATGTACTGTTGTTTGTTTTGTTCCTGCTTACGCTGCCTGACAGCAGCATAGATGGGCTTTCTTCCATTCCTTCTTTGTTTCCTTCCTAATTGTATTCGTTTTAGCGGATTAAGAGTTCATATTTTGACTTTCATTTGACAAATACTGACTAATGTTTGGCTGAGCTGGCAGCACAGGAGAGTGTGAGATGATTGTAAAATAATTCCACAAATAAAACCAAGATTCAGAAGCAAAACAATACAAAAAATATTTTCAGTGCTTCACTTCTGTTTCAGCTACACGGCTACAGCCCTTTAAACAATACGAGGTGATTTACATGGTGATAAGGAAGTGAAAGCACATTCGGCTCCACATCTGCATACTGTGACTAATGACAGAAAGCGAAGTCTGTGCACACAAGGCTTTTTGTTCAATATGATCAGAAGTAAACTTCCCTCTGTACACAACACCACACAAGTCTTCATGCAGTGTGGGCGTGCTTATGCTTCACAGCCAACAAAAGACTGAGCTCCATGCCAACTGTACCTCTGTGGGTTTTAAACCCGCCACACTGGAACAAAAAGAAATGTAATTCGCTCCTCCTAATATGCCCTTTGATGGTTCCCATGTGGGAGACGCGTATGCGTTGATAAATTCAGAACCACATCAGCCAGTCTGCAGATTGGAGCAGACAGCTAACGTTAGCAGCTAATGTTTTGATTGGGCAGATTAAGGTTTCTTAATGTCCGACAGAGTATTGGATTGTTCCACATCCCCTCCTTCAATATGTTTACTTCATGTTTGCCTCTCTTCTCAACTTGTCTCTTGATGGATTCCTTCCCATCTGCACTTACAGACCCACATGCCTGCGCTCCCCTTTGCAATCATGGTTACTATTACTCATCACCAGAGTGATGTAATTAGCAAATGGATGTACTTTTGCTTGGGGTGCTGCAGGATGGTTGGACAAGTGTGGCAAACATTTATTCCTAGATTTTATCATAATGTGAAATGAAGACTGGCTTTGCCATCTGGCCTGAAGGATTCTGCATATCTGTCTTCATTAGCTGCTTTGTCACATTGCACTGCTGCTTTCTTCACTTTGAGACTTAAAGCAGTCTGCTTGAATAAACTCACCAGCCCTTTTGAGCAAAAAGGCAAAGAAAAGGACTTAAAAACAAATGTCTTTATCTTTCAGGTAATTAGAGACCCGAAGCTGGTACATCACGACAGCTGCAGTGTTGCCATGGAGACCGGAAAGCCAACACTATCGAGTGTTCCGGTGCACACTGGCTCCGTCAGAGCACAGGCAGAGAAAAGGATGGACATCCAGGCACCACTAACGGCTGTTTACATCCAGACAGTTCCTGCCGTGCCGATGCAGCCGTACCTTCAACCTTCTGCAGACGCGCGAGAGACAAATGCACTCCATCTGGCCATGCCACCGCTCTACTCCAAGGAGACGCTTCCCTTCCTGACACTGCATCTCGCCGGTGGACTGCAGCCTCAAATGGGACTGAGCGCAGCTGCTGCTGCTGCTGCTGCAGCTCCAGCTCCAGCTCCGACTCCTGCAGCCAAACCCAAGTCTGCGGGCAAACATGTGTGTCCTCACTGCGGACGTGACTGCATGAAGCCCAGTGTCCTGGAGAAGCACCTCCGCTGCCACACCGGGGAGCGACCTTACCCCTGCACCACCTGTGGAGTGTCTTTCAAGACTCAGAGCAACCTCTACAAACACAGACGAACTCAGGCACATGCCCGACAATCATCCGAGTCAGAGCAGACCAACCTGGGCAGCCTGGACAGCATGTCCAGCTCTAGAGAGACTTGTTCCTCCAGTTTGTCTCTTGATGAGCAATGCGAAGATTTGGGCAGCGAGGAGAAGCATACTACGCTAAGTGCTGCTGAGAGCCCGACTCCTGCTGTTCAGACTCAAAGTTCTGAACAGAGAGAGACAAGCCCAACGGTTTCCAGCGCAGAAACAAATGGGAGTAACAAACTGACAGTTGCGGAGGATAAACAGAAGACAGAAAATACAAAAGACTCTCTGACCATCAGTCGGCATCTCCAGCTTCAGAGACAGGAAGCCACCCTGTTCTCCAAACAGTGGGACAGATCTGTGTCCAGAGGGAAATCCCAGAGTCATGAGAGTACAGACTCTGGCTTCAGCGAGAGCAGCGACCACTACCCAAGTCCCAGCAGTGTCTTACCTGAGCACAGTGTGGATTCCCTCTCTAAACCTAGCAGGGAGCATCTTGAAGAAACCCAGAACACACATTTATGTTCAGAACAAGGCCACGGTGGACAAGACGAAAAAGACGCAGCAAGGGAGCAGGTACATAAGAGGCTAGAGGAACGGATATCCAAGCTGATTTCGGACAACTCGGCTGTTGTGGAGGATAAACACCTTGAAAATGTCAGGCCAAGAAAAACTGTTTTGTCAAAACAGGGCAGCATTGACCTTCCCATGCCATACACCTACAAGGACTCCTTCCACTTTGACATGAAGATTAACCCGGCCCAGAATACTGGGATGCAGAGACACACCAAGTCTGGTTTATTCAACTCTGTGCCGACTCAGTGCTCCTCTACCACAGAGCATGCCCCCTTAACACGCAGCAGCTCACTCCCTTTCAGCGTTACCCTTCTGCAGCCCGAGAGAAGCAGCCCAACCTCCTCCAGTCAAAGTGATTATGCAACAGACATCCGCAGGGGAAGCTCTGGCCAGATCAACCCAACAGGTTTATTGAAGAAGCCTGTGAACCAGCACTCGTCTTCTCACCGCCCACTGGTTCGGCAGACAGCCGTAGACTGCAACCACACAACAGACAGCCTCCACACAACTTCATCTGTGGAGGAGGCATGCACCGGCAGTCTCAGCTGCGACGGAGATGCCAGTGATATTATTGGAGAGCCAAGCAGCAGAAAGTTCCGGAGGAAGAAAGCACAGAAGTTTGCTTACAACAAGTGGTACATGTATGGGGGTGGAACATTTAAAAAGCTCTATGATCCTGACAAAAGTGGCGATTCCACTGCTCTGAAAGGCAGGAAATGTTTGACAAACCTGGTTCATGAGACAGCTCAGGGTGTACAGAAAAGGGTCTCCATGGTTCAAAAAGAAACAGTAACAAGATCGGGCTCAACAGTAAACTTGTCAACCAGCAATGCAACAGCAGGCCATCTCTCTGCCAATCTCTCCCTTGTCTCTTCTGTGGATCTAAATGTAGAAAGACATCACCTTCATTCAACAAATAGTTCCGCTAAGGCTCCACTTACGAGACATTTGTCTCTGTCACTATTGCCTTTATCTGCCACCAGATCCATGCCTGTTCACAAAATGGAGTGTTTCAATCTAACAGAGGCAGGGAGATTAGGGAATGTTCCAAAACATTCTGACTCCATGACAGAGCTTTGTGAAGCCCACACTCCATCTGACAGAAAGAAGCAGAAAACTGGTGAAAAAATAATTTCCCCTCTGGAGATGGAGACTGTGCCAAGCACACTGACTCAGCACCCTGTGCCTGTCACTGCAAGCACACCTCCGCAGGGTACAGATGTTACTTATGTCCAAGCTAAAGAAATCCCAAATTCTCCGGGGCTCAAAGGAACCCTCTTTTTGCCATGCTTACTCAATGCAAATGTTTCCCAGATTAGCACTTCGGCAGCTACTTCAGTCTCTGTTGCTGCAAAGAGCAGTTTCCTCCCCAAGTATCAGTTGAAGTTACCCAATGCCCTTGAATCTGGTCCTGCATCCTTACCACAAGCTCAAAGTAAACCAAAGGGAACAGATGACTGTAGTGCCACTCTCAGCGACCAAATCTTAGTGACGTCTTATGAAAACATATGTAAAAACACTTTAGAGTCCATGCAAACACAAGACCACCTTGCCTTGGCTCGCACAGTTACAAGTATGTGTCAGGTTAAAACTTCACAACACACCCATAGTTTGTCTTCTAATGTATCTGTTATGCAAAGGCAGTTTGCAGCAACCACAGTAACCACAAGCTGCTTTCAAGATTATTCGAGTGGATTATGCAGCGCTTTGTTGCATTGTTCGAAAACTGCAACCGATTCTATGCATAAACATTTACCCAGACCTCTTGCAACTGCAGCTCCTAGCATGTCTTTGCCCACAGGAAATAGTCAGACATCTGCTGCCACCATCACAGGTCTTTCGCATCATCTGCCTAACCACGGATCGATCCTGGCAAACCCTGCAAACAAAGCAGATGTTGACTCTAATACCTCAGCTGTACGTTGTCGCATTGTGCCGTTGGACCAGCAAGTTCAAAATGTTTTTCATGTTCACACAGCAGACCTCCAGATCTGTCTTCAAATTATATCAGATGAGCAGATGGCTCTTATTGCACCCCAAATTGAACGTCAGTCTGGTCCTAGTCTGCCACAGTTACGTGAAATTGAAGCCATGTCCCCAGAAGGTGCCCTGAGTAAAACTCAAACTTTTGGCTCAAAGAAAATTACCAATGTCACAAAAGTAGAAGAACAACCAAAAGATCCAAAGGAGGGTGTCAGACAGGAGCATTTATCTAGACTTAACTCAGAGAGAGCATCACCCCCACAGTCTGTGCAGCCGGTGAAAGAAAAAAACGAACACAGTGATGCCTGCAGAACTGCATCATCAACAAAATCTTTCCCTCCTCAACCACCATCCCGACACTCGCACAATAATGGCCATTTAATCACAGTCACGCAGACCCGAAATTCTGTAGGCAGTATTATGGCAACCTCTGCTTCAGTCAGAGGTGAAAACTCAGGAAGGAACCACACTTCAGAGGCTAAACAAGTTCTCTTTCCAAACGCTTGTGCCGAGGAGAAATTTTTATCCACTAAGAGGATCAATCAAACTGGAATGGCCTCACAAATGCTTACAAGTCAACAGAAAATTTGTGAGAGATTATTTTCCACCAGTCCAGCAAATCAGAGCAACATGAAAATCGAACCTCTGGACAAAAGCCAACAGAAAGCGAAACATCCAGGTGGCTTGTGTAACACAAATGTATTGAACAGTCAGTGTGGAGCTTTGGCGTGCAAAATCAGTAAGACAGAGAGTGGAGAGTTCCTCAAACAAGCCAACAGCGACAACGCAGGCATTGATGCATCAGTCTCTCAACTTTCCAACAGTAACATCAATGTGGTAAGACAGCTCAACCCACAAGCATTTGTCTTTCACAGTCATCAAATGGAACCTACAAAATCCACAAATGAGAGTTCACTCAAGCATGCAAACTTGCAACTGAGCAGAGTGAAACTTTCTGACAATTCCTCTTCTTCAATGGAACATTGTCCTCAGGAAATACAGAATACAATTAGAAGAGAACATTCAGAAAAATCTCCGGGTCAGTTTAACTTACAACCTGCTTCTGTTGACATGAAAAGACCCGGAGACGTTACAAGCTTCCAGAGCTCCACCACAGGTATGAATTACAGCTTACTTATGTTAAGCATCTGAGTGTTATGTCTTACATAATGCAGGAATATGTCACTGAATTATTTCTATATTCAAGTGCATTGATAACTACAGCAGAGCAAACAACTTACTGCAAGTATGTATGTATCCATCACTTACCATTACATACACAAAGTTTGAAGACAGTTAGGCCACGTTCATACTGCAGCCTGAAGTGACCCAAATCCGATTTATTATGAAATCTGATTTTTTTTTTCGCGTGGTTGTTCACACTTCCAAATATATGCGACTTGTATGTGATCTCCAGTGTGAACTGCAAAAATGTCCCGCATGCGCAGTAGAGGGTGCAATAACGTCACACATAGAGAACGCGCTCAGTTTTGCCAACAGACATAAAAAAAGAAGAAGCAGTGCTCAGTGTTTGCAGATGTAAACGTGGATGCTAATCTTACAATTTTAAAGTTGTAAGACCGGAACCAAACACTTTAACAACTTAATCCTCATCCGCCATGGTTGTTGTTTTTCTTCCGACTTGCGCGCGAATCAGGAAGCAGAGTAGTGACGTGACGTCTGTCCAGTATCAGTGACGTTCAGGTCGGAGGAAACAAATCTGATCTGTACTGTTCAAATTGACATGAAAAGATCAGACATAGTTCGCATTAAAGAAAAAAAAAAGAAAAAAGAAATCGTGTTTGGGTCAAGTTAGGCTGCAGTATGAGCGTAGACTTCGTCTCCAAATGATCTGAATTCTGATTAAAGAAGCAGAACGTTTGAAAAGAAACCACATTTTTCTGTTGGATATATGGGAGAAATTAAAAAAAGACTTCAGTTACCTGAAATATTGGAAACGTTCAAATTAAACAATAAAATTAAATACCTAAATCAGTGATTCTTGAGAATAGGGACAAAATGGGTTTTAATTTTCCCATATTTTTTAAAATTATTTCTCAACCTTATCTATGTAAATATGACAAATAATGTTTTGGAAGTGTAAAGATGCTACTGTGCAGGCTCCCAGTTGCAACATTTTTTTTAAAAAAAATTACATTTTTAATCGACCTGACCC